TTCCAGACGATGGGGGAAGCGCTGGAGAAGTCCTGGAGGCGGGCATGGGAGGAGGAGGAGACCAGGGAACTAGAGAGTAGGAGGTCTTGTGAGAAGCGGAGAGTACGTTTTGGGTGGTAGATGGATATCAGGTCGGTGATGTAGTTTGGGGCAGTGTTATGAACAGCTTTGTACGTCAATGTTAGTATTTTGAATTTTATGCGTTGGGCAATCGGAAGCCAGTGGAGGGATTGGCAGAGGGGGGTGGCGGATACGGAGCAGTTGGTAAGATGGATGAGTCTGGCCGCAGAATTCAGGATAGACTGAAGCGGGGATAGCCTGTGTTGGGGTAGGCCGGTGAGGAGGGAGTTACATTAGTCAAGTCGTGATATAATAAGGGAGTGAATGAGTTGCTTTTTAGTTTCTGGACTTAGGAACGTGCGTATTTTGGAGATGTTGTGGAGGTGGAGTCTGCATGAATTTGTAAGTGATTGGACCTGGGGCTGGAAAGACAGATTGGAGTCTAGAATGACACCAAGTACTCTGGCTTGTGGGGTGGGGCTGATGGTGGTGTTGTTGGTACTACTCTCCACAGAGTTTTTTCTCAATGCCCTTTAGTTGGTTGGCGATGCCAGAGGGAAGAGGGCTCTATGCTTCACATATTTTGATCCTGGCCAAAGATCACACATTTTTGTTCCCAGGTCAAACAGATTATTCAAAGATTAACAGATATTCAGATGCCGTTTAACCATGCTGCATTCACCCTCCATCTGACCCCCATGTTCTTCAAGAGATATGAAAACTTTCTGCTCATACAATTGCTTAACATGGCCAATGCATGCATACCACTACATTGGAAACAAACCACGTCTCCACCAATATGCCCCTGGTTCTCCAAGATTAATGAAATACACAATATGGAGGAGTTAATAGCCGTGGCCAATAATAAAGAGGAACAGCGTCGTAAATGATGGTCCTATTGGATGGATTTCACCTTCTCACCAGACTACCAGACCATGTCATCTTATTTTGACTAGATAATTGTCCCTTCTGGACAGTGTCGATTTGGCGTGCCCACTGTGAGGAATCTTGTACAGCCCTCTTTTCCTATACCCTCTCTCCCCTGCCCTCATACTATTTTCCCTCCCCCCTTTTTTTCTTTGTCTTGCTATTTTCCACCTCCCTTTATTACTAATTAGATACCACTGAAATACTAACTACCATACACAAGGCAGTTCCTGATGAGGAGTTCCAAGCCCGAGAGACATGCGTTGTTTTTTTTTATCGTGTTTAACTACTTGCCGACCGCAGATAGCTGAATGACGGCTTCACCGCGGCCGGCCAGTTCTGGGAAGGCATCATATGACGTCCTCCCACAACGCGCCCTCCCGTGCGCCCTTGGGGGTGTGCACACGGCGATCTCCGTGATCGCTGTGTCCTACGGACACAGCTGATCAAGTAATGTGGTAAAAAGCCAATCACAGCGGCCTTTTACCAAGTGATCAGCCATGTCCAATGACACAGTAGACCACTGGTAAATGCAGTTGCCGGTTATTGGCTGCACTTTCCTCATGCTGTCACAGCCTGAGGAAGTACTGCCGATAACGGGCAATTGTTAGAGGATGGATCGGCACCAATCATCAGTGCCCTGATGATCAGTGCCCAGCAGTGCCGCCCACCTGTGCCCAGCAGTGCCGCCCAGCAGTGGCACCAACCTGTGCCCAGCAGTGCCACCCATCAGTGCTGACCAGCAGTGCCACCCATTAGTTCCCAGCAGTGCCGCCAGTCAATGACCAGCAGTGCCATCAGTCAGTGCCACCCATCAGTGCTGGCCATCAGTGCCGCCTATCAGTGCCCATCATTGTTGCATATCAGTGCCGCCTATCAGTGCTCATCAGTACTGCCTAGCCGTGGCACGTCATCAGTGCCACCTATCAGTGCCGCCTACCAGTGCCCATCAGTGCCCATCAGTGCTGGCTATCAGTGAAGCCTCATCAACGCACATCAGTGAAGGGGAAAAATTACCTGTTTGCAAAATTTTATAATATAAATAGAATTTTTTTTTTTTTTTAATTTTTACATTTTTATGTTTATAGCACAAAAAATAAAACACCCAGTGGCAAGTAAATGCCATCAAAAGAAAGCTCTATTTGTGTGAAAAAAATGATACAAATTTCATATGGGTACAGTGTTGCATGACCGCGCAATTGTCATTCAAAGTGCGACAGTGCTGAAAGCTGAAAATTGGCCCAGGCAGGAAGGGGGTATAAGTGTACAGTAGGCAAGAGTTGCTACCCTAGGACTACCCTATGACTCCTATTCACATCTCCATAACCCCCCCCCATAACAGAGGGGAAGTGTTTTTTTGTCTTACATATCCTGATAATATTGTTGAAAATCAAACCAATTGTTATTTGATTCCTGACAAATGGCATAGTGCTCTAAAGTCAAGATACTGATTATCTGCAGCTTTTTTAATCATATTTTATTGTCTTTTTTTATTTACTTAGAATATCCGTGGTGCATGCTTGCTATCCTACAGTTTGTCCAAAGAGTGTCCAGTGGAGCAAAAATCTTACTATCTCTTGGAGGCCAAAGAGTCTTTTGAGATTGGTCTCCTCACCAAAAAAAGAGGAGACCACGTGACAAGTAAGCAGGAGCTTCACAGCTTTATCAAGTCAGCATTTTGTCTTACAAATGTGCACAAGTGGCTTAATAGTGAAGCTGGGCAAAATGAAATTGTGAATCAACTTTGCAAAGATGCCATGGAAAAACTGGCAATATATAATATGTCATCAGACAAACATGACAAAGGAGTCTTGGCCAATGATGTCATGTGTCTTGTAACAGCTATTAAAGAACATTTAAAAGTGCAACTGTTTTCAAATTCCGATGATCAGTCTTTTGTACCTGACAGTTACAGAGACAGCATTAAAAAGAATATTGTCATTGGAAAGGTGAGCTTCCAAATACTGTTGGATATGTATTCTCAACATCATATTTCAGTGTGCAAAGTGTTTGATGTTGCTTGCAGAAACAACACCACAGAAGAGGATGGAATGAAATCAGGAGCTTGTATAACTGCCTTGAAGACTACTGACACCATCAGTACCATAGACAGCTCCCCAAGCCAAACAGCTAGTGATCAACAAAGTGACCAATCAGTAAGAAGAAGAAAACTTGTACATTCTGATGCCATAAGTCACTCTTTTGATGAAGAAAGAAGGCAACGATTAAGTAACTCACATAGTGGTAGTCAGGGCTCCAGTTTGTCAAATTCTTCTTTTAGCTGGGAATGCATACCAGAGCAGAATGAAAAGGAGCCTAATGTTTGTAATAATAAGGGTGATCACGTTGTGAGTCTCAGTTCATCCTCTACTTCCAATAATGTTCTTGATGAAAAAAAGTCTGGTGCTTACATACATTTGCAGGGTCTTTCCCTTCAAGATCATGTCACTGATCCCCCGAATCATGCTGTAGGCAATGAAACAACTGGGTTTCATGGCTGTAGAAAATCCTCTGCTGAAAGGTCTAGTACATATTCAGATGATGGATCTTTTGAGTTTGTTGACCTTTCTGTTGGTGCTCAAACCAACAAACCAACAAATGTCACAGAGAAGCAACAAATGTTTACGTCTGATGGGGTAAATGCAGGAGGTACTTCAGGGCCAAGTGCCTATTTTGGAATTGATCTAAAAGGTGAAACACAAGATACTGCAGATGATGCACCTTCTGGAATACAAAAGTATATGATGGTACCTCCAGGTCCATCAAGTGTTATTATGGGGCCAAATATTTATTCTGGAATTGATTTGAAAGGTGAAACACAAGATACTACAGATGATGCACCCTGTGGAATACAACAGACTATGATGGTACTTCCAAGTCCTTCGAGTGTTTTTACTGGGCCAAATATTTATTCTAGAATTGACCTGGAAGGTGAAACACAAGATACAACAGATGATGTGCCCAATGGAAATCAAAATAGTATAATTTTACCTCCAAATCAATCAGGTGATAATATAAGGTCATGGATAAATTCAGGAATTGACTTGGAAGGTGAAACAGAGGATCCTATGTATAATCCACCACCTGTAATACAAAAGGCTATGACAGTATCTCCTGGTCCATCAAGTATTATTGAAAAGGCAGGGATTCACCCTGGCATTGACCAAAAAAGTGAAGCTCAAGATACTACAGATGATTTACCCAGTGGAATGCACTCTTCTATGAAAATTCATGCTAGTCATTCAGTTGATAAATTAAGACAAGTTTTGCTATGTGAAATTGATATAAAAGGTGAAACAAAGGATACTACAGATGATACATCATTTGGAATTCATGAACCTGCTCATGCAGTATCATTAGATGCTGATGGTAGACAGAGGTTACTATTTGAAACTGACTTAAAAGGGAAAATAAAAGATTCAACAGAGGTATCAGGTCATGTTGCAGAACATAGGTTAATTTTTGGAATTGACTTAGATGATGAAACAAATATTGCTACAGAGGAAGTATCTATTGATGTGCAAAATACTGATTTGTTGCCTTCAGGTCAGCCTGCCTTTACCCACAAATCCTCAGCCTCCTCTTCTGAAGGCAAGGCGTTAGCTACAGAAGACAATTTGGAAATGCAGTTCCTTAGCCGTCAGTGGTCTGTAGAAAGTTCAGCTGACAAAACACCTTTAAGTCAGCAAAACAGTCTAAACAATTCACTCACCTCTTCTGGAAAGGGCAAGCCTGAATCTAGTTTTGTAAAGCAATGCCATGCGAAAGAGGATGTGGCCAATATCAGCTTCAGTAGCAGCCATGACTCTGGTTCTTGGTGCAAAGTTAGTCCATTTTCAGGTAGTCTTTCTGAGTCACATTCATCTTTAAATTCAAGTGTAAGCTCTTTTGTTGTCCTGCAAGCACAACATAAAGAGCAGATTCTCCAGGCCCGTTCCTTAGATGTCACTGATTATGAAAGACTCCTATCCGGTGTAAGTCATGAATGGCTGCTCAAGAGGTTGGAACATACAGGAGTTTTTAACTTCAAGCATGTTCAAAAAACTTACAGTAAGTATATTTATTTTTTGTTTTTTTCCTATTTTATATTTTGATAGCAATATCTTTTCTATAGAACTGAAAAATTAGAAAAGTGCAAACACTCCTTACTGTACGCACATCTGATTGACCCCATATGATAATCTTTCTGTTAATAGATTATTATTTATTAAATCAGTTGTATATTTCTTCAGCGAGCAAATTACATCTACTTGATGCCCTGTCAAATCTACAATTTAGAAAACTGCTTGTGATTTCAAAATGTTGTACACAGTGGGGTTGATTTACTAAAACTGGAGAGTGCGAAATCTGGTGCAGTTGTGCATGGTAGCCAAGCAGCTTCTAACTTCAGCTTGTTCAGTACAGCTTTGACAAAAAAAATGGAAGCTGATTGGTTTCTGTGCAGAGCTGCACAGGATTTTGTGTTCTCCGGTTTTAGTAAATCAACCCCAGGATCACAATGTTGTACTTGATCCTGTAAACTAGCTATCAACTACCAATTGGGCCTAATATACATATAATCTATTTTTGTTTGCTATGAAAAAAAACTGTTGCTGATAGATATCCCCTTAAAACAGGGAAAGGTTAATACATCTGTGTTTAATAATTATGTTTGTTAACCTGAGGGTTGCCATCAAAAATCACATAGCTTCTTAGTACTTGATATCTTAGGCTTCAATAAATAGCTACATTTTATTGTAAGAGTTTTTGTTCTTAGAAGCTCTGTGGATTCAACTGTGTAATGTTTGTACATACTTGTAGATCTTTTTTTATTAAACTTCACTAAGTATTTCTGGTACAAATTCCTAAAAGAATGAACTATTTTGAAGTCAAAAACATTTTTCTTATGTTTGGATAGGGTATGGAAGTGTTGAAACTTCTGGTATGTTTTTTATTGGTTACTTTAATTAAAGCTGAATTCCAAGTATGACCTTAATTGCACATTTAGCTTGGACCAATGTAATCATGCATATCTCATACTTGGGGACTTGCTGTAAAAGCTGGAAATCAATATGCATCGTAGTAGTCAGTAATACTACAGTGATTGCTGAGATCTTTAGGGTCTTGTGACAAGTGGCTTCCCCACTGCACATTGACCACAGGGGGTTGTTTGGAAATATCACTATTCAAAAAACGCCATGTATGTTTTTCACTGAATACAATCCCAACTTCTCCAATCAGAAAATGCCTCATCCACTCAATGGCAAGTGATTGACCCCCTCAGGCGCATAACACTAACTAGTACCTCAAGTATGAGATAAGAATATTTACATTGGTGTAAGCTGGACCAATGTAAGTATGCAATTAAGTTCATAACTAGCAGCACAGCAAGTGAAGGCTAATCCAAAAGTTTACAGTTGTCACCCAAACAGGAAGATAGGGGGGAATCTCCCAATGGGCTATTGGTTTGGTGTTGATTGCTTCTAGCGTCTTGGTTTTTTTGCTATGACATGAAGAAAATGAAATATACCGAATAGGGCACAAAATATCTGATAAGTGTTTTAACCATTCCTTACTCTATCCAAAACTACATAAAAAATGTTTTGACCTTAGGTATACTTTAAACCTTTCTGTGCGAGTTTAAGAAATGCTTAAGCATCTTTCTATTGACCTAAAGGTCAGATTACCTAATAAGCTGTCAGTTCGACTTTGTTTACATTTGCCGTTGGTGGCATTAAAAAAACACGGTTGGCACGTTTTTACAGACGCTTTTGCTTAAAATTGCAAAGACAATGGACGATGGGGTTTTACATGCCACAACTGCGATGCTATGCAGCACTGTGCGACCAATATTATTCCTTCTTTTCTGCTGAATGCAACCCGTTCAACTGAATGAGGTCGTTCTGCATCCACCCTGCAACCACATGCAATGCACGCAGTTGTAGCACGGTGGTTCAGGTTTTAAGGGTTAAAACTGGCAGTGAGAAGGTGACGCAGTGCCTCCTTACTGCCTGTCTCTCCTAATAGTGATCCATCATGGTGTGATGGCCATGTAAAAGAGCCCAAAGAGACACTTTTTATTTCCTGCCTAAAAACATTCCTGTGTCTTTGCAGCAGATATGTGCCACTTATCTAGTCTGGCTGATAACAACCTTACTTACTTCATAGGTACTAACAGATATATACTTAGGTCCCATAAAGAAGAAATGCCTTTATTGCCCTGATGGCTGCCATGGTTAATATTTGTGATTAAGTTTATGCTGTTCATCCAATAGTGAAAAAGTTCAGCTTGAACATTTCGATCTGAACAAATGCATGCATTGCAAAATCTGTTAAATACATGGCTGTCTATGTTTAGGTCAAGAAGCTGGATATTAATGTGTAATGGGCATTCTGACCCTCTGTCCTAGCTACATCCACTCTATCTTTTTACATTTCACCTGTTAGGGATTGCTGGCCATATTAGTTATATCTGAAGTAGTGAAGCCTCTTTTAAAACTTTTGATGATAATATTGAGGGAAACTTGCCTGTTTTGCCTTCCAGTTAGTGTATGTCATATTACCTGTGAATATCATTCACAATATATCAGAAATTATACATAATACAACAAAGTTATAGATCATTAAAAAAAAAAAAAGTTATGTACATATGTATAACAGTCTGTTATAGTATATATATTTCAACGACAGAGGTACCTTTCTAACAACTATTGCAAAATATTGAAACTTGGACAGCTTCCCCCCAGCCAACTACTTACTTACCTTAGTTGCAGAAATGCAGCCTTCCCTAGTGCTGCTCTGGTGTGTCATAGGAAAATCCTTTTCCTACTGGCTGCGCTTGAACGCTGGGTGACCATTGACTTGAATGGAGCCTTAGACTGGAAAAGCAAGCATACAGCCCCATTCAAGTCTTTGGAGGTCACAGCTCTGTAACTAAGGTAAGTATGCAGCTAGGCATTGGGGGTTGTGCAGAGTGAGTTTAGTGAAACTGGTAAGAAATGTGGATCTATCCTTTAAAGCAGGGGTGTTCAACCTGTGGCCCATGGGTCGCATGCAGCCCAAGATGGCTATGAAGGTGGCCCAACACAAAATTGTAAAATGGGGATTTTTGGGGAGGATTTGTTTTTTCAAAAAGGCATTTACACTTAAAAAACACGTGGCCAAAGAAAATTTTTACAGTGTATCATTACTGATATTTTATAAGTTTTATCTTCCCAAAGAAAAAATACCACTTTTCACAATCCCACCTTATTCATGTCATCAGTTTTCGGCAGCACTTATATTTGTGAGCAACTATTTTAAAGGATAGAGCACACAAAAGGCAAACTTAGAACCAAAATATATGATGAGTACCTTGAGAATTCATTGAGAATTGCTCCTACATCCATTCGAACCAGATATATTGATGTGTTAGTTTATCAAAAACAGTATCAAATATCGCACTAGTTTTATGTTGCCCTCTTTTATTTTTTAATAAAAATATTACAGAAAAATAAGTTTTATTACTCAGATAGGTACATTATCTGTATTAGTGATCATTAACTTATGATCTACCTGACTTTTTATACTCATCAGCTATCCTTATTGTTAGTGTATTTTATGTGTGGCCCAAGACAATTCCTCTTCTTCCAGTGTGGTTCAGGAAAAGATGGGTAGGACACCCCTGCTTTAAAGCAATTCTATACTTTGCTCATGTGGGGCAAATCAACGGCTTTTCCTTCTGCAACAACACTCATTTTTTTCTTTGCTCCACTGCTGCTCCTTTGAGCCATGAGGAGTGAGGAAAAAAAAACATGTATAAGCTCCATCTTGCTTTAGTTACAGGTCTGAGGACTGTGTCCCTGTCCCCATGTGAAAGTGCTTGGCTAACCACCAATCCACCAGTACTATCACATGGAAGAGAAGGGAAGTAAGCACTTAGTATATTTTTGCCCCTGGTAGCTAAACAGAATGGCAGATGAGCAAAGGAAAGGTGAAGGTGATATGAGTTATTTCACTTAATGATCATAGTTTGTACTGCCTTACTCTATTATACTGATCATTATGGTGACTACTGAATCCAACTATTGATGGTATAGATTTAATGGACTTCTTCTGGAACTTTCCACCAAGACAAATATTTAGATACTTTTTTGTATATACTTTTGTTCCGCTTTCCATAAGGCACAATGGTTTTTGACCAACAAAGAACAGTACTATTCTCTACTTGAATTTGTGATAATCTGATCCTTAGTTCTTCTGACAAAATGGTAAAAAGTCCCATTTATATCTTAGTCACAATTTAATAAGTAACAGCTGCTTTCAGTATTGTTTGAAGAAACGCTGAAAAGAGAGATTTCACACTGTCAGACCCCTGGGTAGAAATATATCACTGATGTTTTGTAGTACTTGAAGCCAGGATCAGTGTTATAAATGTCATATATGCAATGCTAGGTACTGCTATAGCAAGGAGACCCCTGTCTCCAGGATGTGTATGTTTATCTATTTATTTGACAAAAAAAAAGTGACAGCTATATCATATAGTCCAATCAAGGCACCGAATAAAAAATCATGAAAGGCATCAGACATAGTCTAAATCTAGTAACTGGGATAGGAAGATGTAATCTCTACTGCATTACATACATTAGAAAATATATTTAAATATAGCAGATACAACAAATACATCTGAAAAACAGGGGTTGGAAACATAACTAAAACTGTTATAGTTACACGTGCACTAGAAAAAAATCATTATACTAATATTTTTCCTCATTTATTATTGTTCATTGTCCACAGCTCATTGTAAAAATGAATGTCAAAATTGAAGTTCTTTATGACCCAACCAGAAGTGTCTGTCTGGCCAAACTGATTAACAGTTAAATAATTTTGTTAGAAAAAGTGTATCTAAGGCCATTTTTTTAGATCTGGATCAGGGGCGGACTGACCATTTGGAAACTCGGGCACTGCACACACAGAATCATATAACAACTGTTTACAATGTTTGCATGTTCACATTTTTATTTTATTACACTTTTATTTATTACAGGTACTTATATAGTACTGTCAATTTACACAGTACTTTACATATATATATTGTACGTTCACATCAGTCCCTAACAGGGGCGGACTGACCATTTGGAAACTCGGGCACTGCCCGAGGGCCCGGGGTCAGTAGGGGGCCCTATGAGATGCCCCTGGTACCTTTTTCATAGGCTTTTTTGAATTTTGGCAAGGACACAGGGGCCCCATGATCCCCTTTTGCCCGGGGGCCCCATGAGTTGTCAGTGAGTTGGATAGAGTTGAGAAGGACTGGAAACTGTCAGGTTTTTAATGCTGTGTGCATCCCCACTGGGGAGTTTCACCCTCTCTAACTGACCACTGTCATTGGGATTAAAGGGAAGCTCAACACTGGTGGTTATTTACTAAAGCTGGAGAGTGCAAAATCTGGTGCAACTCTGTATAGAAATCAATCAGCTTCCAGTTTTATTGCCAAAGCTTAATTGAACAAGCTGAAGTTAGAAGCAGATTGGCTGCCATGTACAGCTGCACCAGATTTTAAGTACTCCAGTTTTAGGAAATCTCCCCTTGTGATGGAGTGGATGTTTTTAAATAGGGACACATGATAACAACTGAAAGGTGATTTCTCTCACTTTGTAGAGATTGCCTCCCCCATTTCTGTTATGTCTATGGGACAGGAAGTGAAACCTCCTCAGTGGAACAGTGAGGGCAACAAAAAACTGATGGGTGTTAACCCTTCCTTATCCAAAACGAAATAGTTTGGTTTTATATTCACTTTATTCACTTTACTGGGTTATTCAGGAACTCATGAAACTAATGTAGTCATTCAGGAACTATAGTGATTGGATCTCTGTTCTTAAGTACCCAGGTCTATACAGTATGTCTGTATTGGCAGTTGCAAAGAATTGCCTTTTTTGCTGAGTTTTAATTTTTTTTATTATTATGGACAATAGTGAAGAAGGTTTTGGACCCCCCTGAAATAGAGTAGTCATAGCCAGAAGAGTAAAGCTGGACATAGATGGATAGACTTTCGAATGAAAATTCTTGGGAAATGTTTCTCTCAGAATATTTTCAATGTCATTCAAAAGATTTAGTTTGCTTTTAACTTTGATTTTAGAATGAATGGATGTTACTTAACAAAAACCACATATACTATTAGAAATTTTTTTTTTCTTCATGAAACAAATTTCCATCCTGCGCCTTCAAATGTTCTCGTCACTGCAGTCGAAAACAAATTTTGATTTTACCCCACTAATGATTAGAAAAATGAATGAACTTTCTTAGAACCTTCTTTGCCCTAAAATGTTTGTTCAGAATTCTACCCATCTATAGCCAGCTTAAGACAACAATCAAGCATGGACAGATCTGAAAACTATAGGCGATACCTGGCTGTAGGGGTAGGAGGAGAAATTAGAAGCTAGTAGGTAACTTAGCCTTTCAGATGCTAACAATAATAGGTTTATCACAGATGGGTGGGCTTTCCTTTTAGATTTGCTGGTAGTTTTACAGTGTTCAATTAACAAGCCGAGTAAGGAATATAAGGGACGTTTCCTTTCTGCCCCAACTCTTCTGATTCTTTATGTTGCAGTGATTAAAGGAGGAGCAACTGGGGTCTTAAGCTTCTTTCTGAAAATGTTGCAGCACTCAGTTGTTTTAAAAATTGGACTGTCAATGCAAGTAAAAGGACCTGGAATTAAACATAAAAACCATGCTGCTGCTACATCATAGAATCTGGTGTTATGATCTAAAATAATCCACTCCAATGCTTTATATTTTTTAAACAATTTTTATTGAGGCAGCAGTGTGCAACGCATACATCATATAAACATGTTTATTTGAAAAGGAAGAACGTGGTAACTGGAGAGGCAAAAAACAGTGGCAATTGGTATGTCTGTTATGTCACGATATGAAAGCTGTATAGACTTTTTTTCCCATGTACCTGTGTTAGGGCTACATAATAGCATACACCATGTATACTGTATTGTGACTAGAGATGCATTGGCCAGTGGATTTTAAATAAAGAACAAAGAAAAGGTCCACCCCAAACAAATTGTGTAATGTCAGGTAGATGTTAGCAGGTTAAATCACCCACTTGCTTCTTTTTTTATCCTAGGAATTTCATTAGTGAATTCATTGCACTAGGTTTGTCAAACTGCAATTGCTTGTATGGGTTTTCTCCTAAAGCTGTGGTTTTCCCATAGACACACTTTGCTTCCAGCCAAACTGGCCCTGGTGTATCTGTATGAGTGTGGAAGGGATATTCCTTTTGGAACAGGCACTCTATACTCTTTAAGATTATTGATTTTTTTTTTATGTGTGTATTTTACAATATGGAGACTATAGCAGAGGAAGTATAGCCCTAGCCCTGATGCTGTACCAGATCTAGAGCTTCGGTAGTAGAAAAGAGAAACAAGTGGGTTATTTACCACTTTATGTTTTCCCCAAAACTCATAAGTAACTTTTAGGTTGGATAACATCTAGCTGTGTATGTGTAGCAATATAAGGATTAAGTATGAGGGATCACTGTAAAGCTGGCCATACATTATTAGTTTTTTTTTTTGCATTCAGCCAGGGGGCAGACAGAATCCACCGTTTATACAAACAAGTTAATCAAATGATCTACTTCAGTAGAGTTGGGACTGCCATACACTGGTCAAAATGTGGCCAGGCCCTGCTCATACCTATACTCATCAGGCCTAATTTTACATATTATACAATTAACACCCTGATTGGTTACTGTATACAGATGCTTTGCTCTTGAAATTCTCAAAGAAATTTGAGCTGTGGACAGCCCAGGAAACTCTTGTGCACTTTGGAAAAGATCCTAAAAAAGAAGGAAAACAGAGAAAGGCTTTCTGGATCTCTTTTCTACACCAGGATGAGACTCTTGGAAGGTATTTATACATGTACACATATATATCATTGTCTTTGGTTTATATAAACTGAACAGTTAGTGTAGTTGAAGTTAGCCCTTGCAGCCAGCAAGGCTTTAGTTTTCATATTTTAATATGCACTACACAAATGACACATTCGGGCTAATTCAATAAATAGTACATTGTGAACAGTACACTAACACACAGCAATCAATTCAAATTCTCTTTACTGAAGTCAGACCAGTAAAAGATGAATTCCTATTGGTTTGCATGTGTGTTATGGGTACTACTGTTGTTTTATTGACTAAGCCAAATAGAATCTCCTCGGATAATGATTTTTATGGGTTCTTATAGTTATGACCTAGTTCTGGACTTATATATGCGAGATCTGGTAGCAATAACAAATGTGGCAACTGAATAAATTATGATTTTAGTAGAACATATCTCTTTTGCCTGAATAAAATATGTTTTTATTAGAACATATCTCTTTTATTACATTTTCCATTCATATAAATTATAGGTATGAATGTACCATATACCATGAACAAATTGTTCAATTTACCTTGTTTTACTTGCAGCAAATGTGAGGTTCCACTTTGTCATGGAGACCACTGGAGGATCTTCTCAGCTAAGATTTTAGGTTTAATCCATAAAAGGGAAGAAGAAATGTAGTGCTAGCAGATGCTGCTAGTATTAGAGCAGACAGCCAGCAGTCATTCACACGTTCTATAGATAAGAGGCTGTTGAAGAGGGCCTCATTGGGTGGTAGTAATGTGTGGGTAGCTTTTGGAGAGGGATTTTGCACAGTGTATAATGAAGTGGCAAACATTTTGCATTCCCATGCAGAGATATTGTGAAAGCTTGCTCATTCTGCCTACTTGAGTTTCCTTTTAGTAACTGATGAACTACCTCAGTCTGTTATTCAAGCCAAGAAACTTTTACTAATATCTAGATGTGTGCATATTCTACCTGCCTGCATATCAGCAGTTTCCTCACAACCAGTTTTCATCCTACTTGAAAAAAATATGCACAACATAATATATATATATATATATATATATATATATATATATATATATATATATTATATATATATATAGTTGTGTTCAAAATAATAGCAGTGTGTTGAAAAAAGTGAATAAAGCTTAAAATCCTTCTAATAGCTCCTATTTCCATACACACAAATGCATTGGGAACACTACACATTCTATTCCAAATTAAAACATGAAGAAAATATATCAAATTTGTGTTGTTCCTCTAAAAAAATTGAAGAAAAGTGAATATTAGACTGTTCAAAAAAATAGCAGTGTTTGTATTCTTCTTTACAAACTCAAACATTCACTATATATAAACTGAAAAATGTTTGAAGATTTTGCTTTCCTTTGAATCACTTAATGAATATTTAGTTGTATAAGCACTGTTTCTGAGAACTGCCGTACATCTGTGTTGCATGGAGTCAACCAACTTCTGGCACCTGTGAACAGGTATTCCAGCCCAGAATGATTGGACTACATTCCACAGTTCTTCTCTATTTCTTGGTTTTGCCTCAGAAACTGCATTTTTGATGTCACCCCACAAGTTTTCTATTGGATTAAGAACCGGGGATTGGTCTGGCCACTCCATAACGTCAATCTTGTTGGTCTGGAACCAAGATGTTGCACGTTTACTGGTGTGTTTGGGGTCGTTGTCTTGTTGGAAACACCCATTTCAAGGGCATTTCCTCTTCAGCATAAGGCAGCATGACCTCTTCAAGTATTCTGATGTATTCAAACTGATCCATGATCCCTGGTATGCGATAAATAGGCCCAACACCGTAGTATGAGAAACATCCCCATATCATGATGCTTGCGCAACCATGCTTCACTGTCTTCACAGTGTACTGTGGCTTGAATTCAGTGTTTGGGGGTCGTCTGACAAACTGTCTCCGGCCACTAGACCCAAAAAGAACAGTCTTACTTTCATCAGTCCACAAAATGTTCTGCCATTTCTCTTTAGGCCAGTCAATGTGCTCTTTGGCAAACTGTAACCTCTTCAGCATGTCTTTTTTTCAACAGTGGGACTTTGCGGGGGCTTCTTGAAGATAGCTTGGCTTCAAATAGGCGTCTTCTAATTGTAACAGTACTCACAGGTAACTTTACACCTTCTTTGATCTTCCTGGAGCTGATTGTTGGCTGAGTCCTTGCCATTTTGTCTATTCTTCTATCCATTCGAATGGTAGTTTTTTTGCTTTCTTCCACGTCTTTCAGGTTTTGGTTGCCATTTTAAAGCATTTGCAATCATTTTAGCAGAGCAGCTGAGCAGCCTATCATTTTCGCGTAGGTACATTTGAGTTGGAATAGAATGTGTATTTGTGTGTATGGAAATAAAAGCTATTAGAAGGATTTTGAGCTTTATTAACTTTTTTCAACACACTGCTATTATTTTGAACACAACTGTACTAGTTGATACAAATAGCACGTATGGCCAGAAAGCCTGATCCAGTAGTTTGCTGAGAGTGTTTTTCACTTTCCAGAGAATGCAAAACAAGACAAAAAATTACTGTATAGTTAAAAAAAGATCTTTATGTGTGTCTTTTGTAGGTATGTTGGGAAGGCTTATAAGACGCGCAAGGAGCTGCTGTACCACTTCAACGATGTTGAGCGTCAGATGACTGCTCAGTATTATGTCACAGAATTCAACAAAAGACTCTATGAGCAGAACATTCCCACTCAGATATTCTACATCCCTTCTTCTGTTCTGTTGGTAAGAAGCTTTTGAAGGGACGCATGCAATATTTGTACAAATCAGGTTCAATATAAAATGAAAAAGAGAACTCATTGAATCCACCTGTGTTTGCATGCATCTAGCTCACCATTTGAAGTAGTGACTATGTCCATGAGGATGGCAAATTATGTTGGTTCTTGGATTTTTGGAGCTGCTGGGAATCCTTTAGTCTGAAAGTTATGTTGAAGTTCCAGTCTTTATAGCCAAGATAGAAAATTAAGCGGTTTAGAAGGTTTATTGAAGGAGGTGATTCAAATAGTGAAACCTCTGTCTATATGTTTATCTCAGAGCAGCCCATTACTTTCCTGCCATTAGTATAAGGTCACATATGAGAGTTTAAATTTTTTCAAAAACTGCAAATTAAAGTAGAACTAAACCTCCACTCCAGTGATGTGAGGTCTGCAAGTTCCCTCACTGGAGCTGGCATCTGCACCTTGTCTTCTTTACAGTTTGTTATCTTAGGCCATCTTTATTGGCCTACAAAAAAATATATGGGGGACCCCTTAAGAGGCTTTAAAGCAGGACCAACCACAGTGTAACCAAACAAATACCACTTTACTGAGATCAAAAATTATTGTAAAATTGTTCAAAATGATGATAATCAGACCTTGTTTTAATGGTGATTGGAGGATTGTGGGTCATTTTGACCAATTGTACAATAATTTCTGATCTCAATAAAGCTGTACTTGTTTAGTTACATGGTGGTTGGTTCTCCTTTAAAGCCTCTTAAGGGGTGGCCTCTCTTGGTCCCCGATATGTTTTTTCTAGTTATGGCTATAGCTTTGGAGGTACCCCACTCTAAATTAAACGGTGAGTCGGTGACCTATTGAAAATGACTGAATGTTGAGATATATACTCTGCCATAGCCTTTGTTTTATTCTTTAATTAGTTACCATCTTAGTTACCAACTTTATTGGCCTGCCGAAGATGACCTAACTCCTGCTCATGCAAACAGGAGTTAAAGCATCTTGGCACCAAGGTATAGCAAGGTTGTACACGGAACTGCGCATGCAGAGTAATTTTTTACCAAGAGGCCCATTTTAAATACATGAGCCTTCATGTGCAAAGGATTCTTTCTGGTTAGCCAATGTAAGTGCAGATTTGTGACATCAAGGCACATAGAATGAGCAAAAGCATAATAATGTCCTTTGTATTTTCAGAAATTGTAAAATGTTTATGTTTAGCAAACAACTTGGGAACTTAAAGTGTTACTAAACCCAGGACCCTGCATCCACTGTATCTGGCCTCCCACAGTGCACACAACATGGAAATGCAATTATTTTAGTAACTATAAACTGCTAAATACCTTTGCTCATCAGCAGTTAGAGCAGTCTTGTGACTTCAGCAGAGCACTGGTTAAAGCTTGCAGGAGGAGTTTTCTTTCTGCTCTAGGAGGATGTGAAACCTCTGACCCTCTGTCTGGACAGTGCTGATTGGCCCTGTGCTGATCCCAAGAAAAAAAAAAAAACCTCTCTAGCAATACACACCAAACTAAGCATGTGCATGTGACCACGGGTTCAGTCTATATCAGGTGGTCATTTCAACAAGAGGAGGGGCAGAGAGGATCAAACAGCCTTTTTATGCAATGCAGAGGGGTTAGTCCCTTAGGTTCCACAGTGAGTATAACAAGCATGCTTTACTGCATATACAGACTGATTTTACTGTTGTGGGTTTAATAACACTTTAAGTTAAATATTCAGTAAACACGTAATTAATTTTTACCTATTCTCTTCCTTCAGATTATGGATGGCAGAACCATTGCAAGCTGTGTTAGTGTGGAACCTTACATTCTTGGAGATTTTGTAAAACTGACCAATAACACTAAAACAGTGAGAATGCAGTATAATGCTACCAAATATGGGTTGGCTTTTGGACATTTTGTATATGAATTTTCACAGTTTTCTGATATAGTGGTAGATTTACAAGGTATGTTGTTAATTATATTAATATCTTGTATTTGATTGTCAAATAGATATTGCATTCAATGATCTGTGTATTTTATCCACAATACTACAAGATTAACCACTTAACATCCGCCCAATAGCAGTTTTACTGTTACAAGGTGGCATTCCTGTACAAAATCACGTGTATATACAAGTGATTTTGCACTTCCGCCACACAGGGCGCACGCGTGCCACCGGATGATCACTTTTGCTGTGAAATGTCACAGCACAAACCGGTTTACAAGTCTCGTTGAGCAGTTGCTCGCCGGCACCTGAATATCGTTGGTCAGGGAGGAAGAACAGAGCTGTTCTGTTGTGACAGGGGGGAGTCCTGAATCGTGTGTCTCTGCAGATCTGAGAACATGATCCATCACTTCCCATAGTAAAAGCACCATCTAGTACACACCAAGAACATAGCTAGGCAAACACTTAACCCTTTGATCACCCTAGATGGTAATCCCTTTCCAACCAGTGTCATTAGTACAGTGATTAGTGTATATTTTTAGCACTGATCACTGTATTAGTGTCACTGAATCCCACAAATTGTCAGTGTAAAAATGTCCGTCACAATATCGTAGTCCCGCTGATCGCCACCATTACTAGTATACATTTTTTTATAAACATTCCAGCATATGTACCTTAGTTTTTAGATGCTGTAACTTTTGCGCAAAGTAATCAATATACAATTATTGGGATTTTTTTGGCCTAAATTTATAAAGAAATTTGATATTTACATTTTTTGTTATTGGATATGTTTTATAGCAGAAAATAAAAAATATTGGGTTTTTTTTTTCAAAATTGTTAGCCTTTTTTAGTTTATATCGTAAAAAGTAAAAACCGCAGAGGTGAACAAATACCACCAAAAGAAAGCTCTATTTGTGGGGAAAAAGGACATAAATTTCATTTGGGTACAGTGTTGTATGACTGCACAATTGTCAGTTAAGGTAACGAAGTGCCGTATTGCAAAGAATGGCCTGGTCAGGAAGGGGGTAAATCTTCTGGAGGGCAAGTGGTTAAAAATATACTGTATACTTTAAGTCACAGAAAGTTGAATTGTCATCAGTTACTGTGGGTCACTGAACTTTGTACATTTCTCTGTTCTTTATTAAATAATGCTCTTGGTTGGTTCCTAGGCTTTTCAATTTTCACTCAATGACTTTATGAAATTGGAACAGCGACTGTATAATGTGGCATATGACTGCTTGCTGCTTTCAAAATTCTTGATTAATTTTCTTTCTCACTGGCTCATAGATGCAGTTTTGTTATCCCACCAAAAGGGGATGTAACATATTAAAGTAGGACAAGAAATTGCAATTAGAACATTCCATTTTCTCCTAAAACAAATATGTGCGTAGAAGTAGAATTCTCAAAAATTCACCAGAATGCTAAATCCCTAGTTGCACACTGTTTAAATCTGTTGTGTTGTTGCTGAGCAGCTTGGAAAAAAGCGTGTACGCAAAACACAAGCCCACAACTATACATGCTAGGTACTACACTAGATATCAATGTAGGAGCTGGCCTGTGTTGTTTTGGGCCTGTGTTTTTGTGAATGACAACATAGCCATTCACAACACAAGTCGACAGTTAAAACAATAGCAATAGCAGGCTACTGGCTGGTGGACAGGCCAGTCTGTACTCAATAGCTTTCTTTTGTGTAAAAAACAAGGTTGCAGAAAAGGCACAGAGCTTCAAAATTAGGTGGCATAGTTGCAGAGTGAAGAAAGGAGTGGCTTCAGTACTGCCTATACTTCCCCCATAGGACCTCCCATAAATTGCACCTCAGCTGGGGTGGAGTTAGCTAGCACTGACAGAACAAAAACATTTTTTTTTTAATCTGTTTAGTAAGGTTATTTCATACAAACCAAATTAACATATAAACAAAAAGTAGCAAGAGTTGAGAACCATCGCAGGACTAGCTATAATACCAGTATGAAAACAAAAACAAAGAGTAGCAAGGGTAACACCAGGAAACATGAAGGTGTGGCTTGCACTACATAGACAATCATATAGTTAAGATTCATAAACAGTATGGTATATATCGTGAAATGGGATGTCCTATAATCCAACTATGTGTATCAACCAGTATTACTCTGTGACATACTGTAACTGAAGCGAACGAGGGATCCGCCAGCCATCTACTCCTTGCCCTATCATATTTCTTAGGGCAACTTCCGTTTGTGTATCTTTGTATAGTGGTAAGCTATTGTTTACAAATTGTTTCAAAAGGAGAGGGGGGGGGGGGGGTTCCACTGCGTCGTTTTAGCCTTCCTAGTGTCTAAAAGGACCAGACCAACCAAAGTACCCTCTGCAACCATTGGAATCAAATTTTCCACTAGGCCCAAAAGACAAACAGTCATGGAGGGTTGCAGCGAGGTAAATGTAACAAGATTATTCAAGGCTAATACCTCCTCCCAAAACCCCATAACCACTGGACAGGTCAAATTATATGGGAGAAGTCTCCCAGGGGAAAATCACACCTCCAACACTCCAGGGAACAGGAGGGATTCATTTTGTGGAGCCTGTAGTAAAGTAAAGTAAGCCCTATGTACAATCTTAAATTGTATGAGCCAGTCTCGTAAAGAGGCCAAGGATTTAAAAAGGGAGATACATCATCCCATTCATCACTGTCCAGGTACGGTATATCTCACAGCCAGTGGGCTCAAAGCCCTTCCAGAGGAGTAAGCACACAAAGGTAAAGTGAGAATACAGATAAGAAGTAGGTTTCTCGTCACATTCTGAATGGAGCAACAAAAAAATGTATATTTAAAAATCACTGCACATGTTGTAACCAAGTGTACTTGGTCCCTTGGGGATTTCAACAAGATGTTTAAAGTTCTGGAGAAACTTCTTATTAGAGATATTTTTCAGCATATTTGTATTTAAAAAATGTGTTCTTTTACAGGATGGTTTACTGGGAGTAAGGAAGGAGAAGCACTTATCTACCTCACTGACCCTCAGATCCATTCAGCTAAGGATACACCAGGCTCCTCCTGTATAAATTTTGGAAATAAAGGGATATACATGTTTTTCAGTTTTCAGCATACAGAGTGCAATGAAATATGTCACAGACTTTCATTAACCAGACCAGACATGAAAGAGTTAGAGGAGCATAGCAACAAAAGAACACAAAGGGATCGTCAACATCAGTTTAAAAAGACCCACAGTATGTAATCATATGTTTACCTGTATTGCACTTTTATAATATTGTATAGTAAAATTTGCCTTTTAAATAAAGATTTGTTTTAAAATATGCCTGCATTAAACATCTCTGTAGAATTAGCATTTCTGAGCCTGTTCCTTAATCTGTAATTTGAAAAGGTTGTGTTGGATTTGAATTTCAAGGTTTGACCTTAGCAGTAGTGGTGAAGTCCAAGAGAACTGGCTGCACATGTTACATTATTATCTATTACGTTTTGAAAAGTTAAGTTTTGTGGGTTCACTTAAGATCCAATGCAAGTATACATTTTGTGTGAAACTTTAATAGGGTACATCAGAAATGTTTATTAGGCCTATACTGATTTTATAACTGGCCACACATCTGTCAATGTGTACCTACAAACTCTTTTAGAGTCTGCTTGATTGGATATATACTGAATGGGTTGTTTAAGTAGGTCATTTATAGTATGCAGTTATTGATAAAACTAAAGGAACTTGCACAAAGATTGTTCATTCAAATTATGTGTGATATTTTTACGGTGCACTGCAGTCCTGGGTCCTGACTGCTTTTCATATCTCTATTATAAAAAATTTGCAACCCTGCTGGTGTCCTTTTAGGCAGGTTATTTTAATGAATTGCGACAGGGTTCTTTGCCTTCTCCGGACGAGCTCATAGCTCAATGATTCCAGGAACCACAAGCCTTTCGGCCGATTTCTCTTCTTAATGAGGATCTGAAAATACTGGACAAGATTCTCAGTCTGGTCCACAGGGACCAAGTGGGATTCGTTCCTGACAGGCAGGCGGGTGATAATGTTCGTAAGGTTGTTCATCTTATACACCTTCTGCAGCAGCACAAAATTCCGGGAATTTTATTGTCTTTAGGTATATACAAAGCTTTTGACTCCCTAACCTGGGAATATCTGTGGTTTGTGCTGTTTCGTTGGGGCTTTGGGTATTCTATCCTTTCATGGATCCAGGCCTTGTATTCTCTCCCCTCCCCTCGGCTCCGGTTAAGAATGCAGGGTATTTCTCAGATCCCTTTCCCATTTTGCAAGGGATGAGACAGGGATGCTACTTGTCTCTGGTGCTCTTTGTCCTGGCAGTTGAGCCATTGGCATTGGCGCTCTGGGTGGATTGTAATATATCGGGTGTCCCTTACGTGGGACAGGAATTTAAGTTGAACCTGTTTGCGGACGATGCCCTTTTGACCCTCGCTTATCCATTGACGACGTTCCCCAATTTACAATGGGTCCTTGCGTGTTTTTCATTGATTTCAGGTCTCCGTATTAATTTGGACAAGACTCTCAATATCACTTTGGCCTCAGACTTGCAATCCTACTTCCTTTACAAGTGGGCTTCCTCTTCCCTGGAATACTTGGGCATTCGTCTGACCCCCACTTATGGCTCTTTGTTTATGGCAAATTATTATCCAGTGCTTCACTCTGTGTCCTCCCTTATGCAGTCTTGGCAATTCCCGCAACTGTCCTGGATTGAACGGGTTAATTCGGTGAAAATTACTATTCTGTCTAAATTGTATTATTTTCGCACCCTCCCAGTGTGGATTCCTTCACATTTTCTCTGGTTACTTCAGGCGAGGGTTATGCGATTTATCTGGACTGACAGACGCCCCAGAGTCTCCAGAAACATGCTTTTTACCAAAGACTGCAGGGAGGCCTTGGGGTGCCTAATGTAGCTAAGTATTACCAGGCGAGCCAGATTGCCCCCCTGTCTATGTTACATGCTTCCTCTGACGTTCCACTCTGGGTCCTTTTGGAGCTGCCTTATTGTGATGTTGATGCTTTTATGGCTTCCCTTGACCTAACGCCTGAGGACATTGAGTCCCATTTTATTCCATGGCCTACGAGTGTGGGATTCGGTACTCTACTCTAGTGGCTTGATGTCACCCTTTCTGCCGGGTTTGGATCAGCCAGGGGGTGGGTGGCCAATGGTTTTTTCGCAGGTGCGACACTTTTAACCTCTCGATCAATCCAGCCAGGCATTTGAGGAGCATTACTGTAGACTTGAATGGGAAGCGTTGAAAGGCTTTAACTCCTCCTGACTTGACATGAGGCGTGAATTTTTTTATCTCGCTCCACATTTTCTACTGGATTAAGGTCCGGGGATTGGGATAGCCACTCCATAATATTAATCTTATTGATCTTGAACCAAGATGCTCCACGCTTACTGGTGCGTTTGAGGTTGTTATCTTGTTGAAACACCCATTTCAAAGGCATTTCCTCTTCAGCATAAGGCAACATGACCTCTTCAAGTATTTTGAAGTATTCAAATTGATCCATGGTTCCTGGTATGTAATAAATAGGCCCAACACCATAGTATGAGAAATATCCCCATATCATGATGCTTTCGCCACCATGCTTCACTGTCTTTACAGTGTACTGTGGCTTGAATTCAGTGTTTTGGTGGTCGTCTGACAAACTGTCTGCGGCCCCTAGACCCAAAAAGAACAATCTTGCTTTCATCAGTCCACCATTCTTCTTTAGGCCAGTCAGTGTGTTCTTTGGCCAATTGTAAACTCTTCAGCAAATGTCGTTTTTTCAACAATGGGGCTTCTTTTTGATAGGCGTCTTCTAATTGTTATAGTACTCACAGGTAACTTTAGACCTTCTTTGAACACCCTGGAGCTGATCATTGGCTGAGTCTTTGCCATTTTGGTTATTCTTCAATCCATTTGAAAGGTAGTTTTCCCATTTTCTTCCATGTCTTTTAGGTTTGGTTGCCATTTTAAAGCATTTGTGTTCATTTTAGCTGAGCAGCCTATCATTATCTGCACTTCTTTATATGTTTTCCCCTCTCCAATCAACTTTTTAAATCAAAGTACGCTGTTCTTCAGAACAATGTCTGGAACAAACCAAATGCACTAAACCCAGCATGTACAACATTTGCTGCCTTCATCCTTAAATAAGGGTCACCTGTTTGACGTGTGTTTTATCACAGATGGGATGACCTTACTAATTGAACTCCACAGTGTTAATATTTTGAACACTCCCCTTTCAACTAATGATTCAATCACAGAATCAGCAGTACGCATTTCATAACTGTTGGATCTGTTGGTTTTCTATTACTCTACTACACCTAATAATAAATTATTTACCATGTAGAAATAGAATTTATACCAAAAACAGTGATTGATCTGGTTAGCGATGCTGAACTGATATTATTTTGAACACAACTGTAGCAGGAGAAGGAGGAGGGGGTTGGGAGGTTAGGAAAAGAAAAAAAAGTACTTTTTGTCAGTGCACAATCCAATGCCTCAAACCGCGCGTCTGGCAATTGAACTTTATGAGATGTCTGTGTGGCATCTTAGTAACACTCGTAGAAAAAAAAAGGAAACCGTGCCATGGACCATGCTCAGCGCATCACCACTGCGTGATCTTGGCCCCACTGCACAGCAGCCACTGCGTTGCAAAGCAGTGGCTAATGTGAACCAGCTCTAAATGTCAAAACAACACATAAATACACATACTAGTCCTCATATGTTTGTACAAGCTTATGTATTCATATTACTACAATCGGGACATTTTAATCTTAAATACTGAAACAATCTGCTGGTGCCTTTTGCTTTATGCTGTATAATATTATTTGTTTTTGAATATTGTTTGTCATCATACCTGCTGTATATGTTTGTAAGATTTCAGTACACGTTAAATACTTTTCACTGGTAAAAATGTATTATTTCTCTTCATCTCATGTAATCAATGAAATCATGATCTATGTTCTATAGCAAAAAATCTCCTCTTTATATGCAAATAGTGCAGCTGTAGAGCAAGTAATCCAGAATATTGGATAATCTCTGCAGCATGACCCTTTATATCACCCTGAGGCATTTACATGCTTTTAGCGAGTGTTCAACAAATGTTCTGAATATCCTGGAGCAAGTAGCTGTAACTTACAATACTGCAGTAGATGATGGCAGCACGCTGTGTGGATAAAGGGCAAGCTGCTATGTGCACAGCCTTATACAACCCCCTGCAGTGTTTGAATATGCATGGTTTTTCTACATGCTACTTAGGCAATCTAGGCAACTTTTTAAAATGCTAAATTATTAGGTGATGTTATTCTTACAAAAGCATACAACTAACACCACAGAAGGCTAAGTTCACACATGAGCATCGGCTTCTTCAGGCATTTTGTGTAGCATATTTTCATGTGTGTTTTTACAGATGTTTATTGGCATTTTCAAGTGTGTGCCTTTTTGTTTGGGCCAATGTAAAGCAGGTTACTAGGAGGAGAAACTGACTGTTAGATTAAAAAAACACATTACCTGCATTTTTCAGACACACCCATTGAAGTCTATGGGGCCAAAAGAATGTGATCCTGCCCAAAGAGGTGCTCAGATGTGAATGGGCTACACAGAATAAAATAGAAATCTTTTGGTTGAGCATTGTCATGTTTCTGGAAATGCACAATGAATCAATCAGCTTTGCTGGACAATATGGGCAAGCATGCCAAGAGAGAAGTATCAGATGTATTTCCCCTTAAAGAGGATTGTTGGTCTTGTATTTTAAATGATGACGTCAGCCAAGTGGCAGCCATATGACCAGCAATAGGAGCAGCTTCAAGGGACTGGTTGTCCAGTGGAGGGAAGGCCTACTGGAGTAAGGAATGAGGTAAGTAATTCTGCCTATAACATGCCCCCTAGATAACATGAGCATTAAATAATATGTGAAGGGTGAGTCTAAAAAAAGATGATTGGACTGGAGTTTAGCTTTTTGCTTAGAAGTTTCAAGTTCATCAATATAGCTTCAATGTTTCTTTAATTATCTGTAAAAATAAATCTTTATCTTTATTTTACAAATAATCATTTGGTACAGGGGGAATGCATAAGTGACAGAGTAGTAATCCACTAGCTCAGGCCTCAAAATTTCCACTCGCCTGCTCGCATATGGAAAGGAAATAACATGGGGGCGAATGTTCCCAACAGGGCCGCCTGTACATCAGCACTGGGAGATATCAGACTGCTGATACACTGAGCAAAGTGAAAGCAAAGGGAGGG